ACAGTAATTTGACTTATTTTTTTAATGATATAATAGTTTTCAATCATACATTCATGCTCAAATTTCACAAAAAAACGAGAGAGACGATGTCATTTCCTGTAGCAATGTTTCTCTAACTGAAACGAAATCAAGTAAGTATGACCTAAGAAACTAAATAAAATGATAATTTTCCTGGACAGGACCAGATTATTTTTGATTCTGCATCATTAGAAGAGTCTGAGGATTCAGGAAATACCTTCAGAATTTTGGTGAGTGTTTTGAAATGATAGTTAAAATGGTTGGCAAGTCTCAATTTCACACGTCCATGGAAAAGTATCTCTGTGACTCGTGCGTAGGTAATACATGAGAGTCACAAGCCGGGGCTGTAGTGAAAGGACATATTTGAGTTTCTTTATCATTGCTACTAAGTGGTTTGAAATCAATTCAGTACATATGACCAAAAAAGCTAATAGTACTTTGACAACCACTTGTTTGATCTGACGTACAGTAATTATTGATTCTAATCGGCTACCTCATTTTGTGCAAATGTTTTTGTGCAGATTAACTGCCATGGTTTACCTCATTAAGTCGATTTGTCAGATGACTTTGGCATCATGTTGAGAACAAGGCTTCAAGACAATTAAATATAAATCCACATCATGTAAATACAATTCTTAATTATGATTGCATGTCAAAAAAATAATTTGCACGTTATTTGATTGTATCCCCCACAGACCGCTGTGATGATGGAATGAAGGATGCAACAGTAAACAAAGCCCTGACACGTGACTTGTCATTAATCAGACACTCATTTGGAATAATACGTTAACAATTCCATTTCACGTGGGAGGCTGTGATGTGTAAATCACCTCCCTGTTAATGCTACAGAACACTTGGGGCGAAAAGCTCCTCTGTGTTGAATGAAATGTATTGTGGAGAACTGACAATGTTATTTTGGCAAAGAAAATGCCAAACAAAATGGCTGTAATTTTCAGTGTGGTAAGAAATATGACATTGCCACCACCTTTTCCAGCACCCTCAAAACGAATTTCTGTAAGAATACACATGCTGCCTTTCTTAGGACGAAACCGCTCGGAACAGCCCATAATATCCTCTGTAAATATCATTGACTTCAAAGACAAATTTCACTCTCCCTCTGTGTCATATGCTCCCTCGCTGCAGTGTCAGTGCCATTCCCTCCAGATGACTGCTTTTATTTGATATTGAACTAATGAGATTTCCATTCTCAAAGCACATCCTCTCACTCCCCAGTCAGAAGATTCCATTTATGCACAAACCCTGGATTGATGGTTGTTTTGCATATTTACATAAGACATATCCACTCTATCTATATGTTTTCCAAATGCCAATGTTTTATTCATATTTTTCTATCATTTATTTGCTTTCATATCCTCTGCCACTTAAATCACATAAACTGTCAAAAAGATTGATATCTGTTATTGGTGTATTGAACATATAATTGAGTTTGCAGCTTATGAAGCTTATATGCACAAATACACTGGATCAAAATCAAATATAGAAATTATAATTGATATTCTTTGAATAGAAGTAATTGAAGAATTGCTTTGCTCTTTCAATGCACCTGTTTTCTTTGGCTTTGTTTAGAGAAATTAGAAATTAAAGCTGCCATAATTAATAGCTGTATGCAGTTCTATTCTAATGCTGCTGTCTGTTCTACTATATATGGCAGCAATAGAATCCAAAAATGAAGAACATCTCCTCAGAGCTCCACTGACATTCAGCAAACACAGTGAACTTGTACAGCGAAAGTGATTGACATCCCAGTCCAGAGCATGTCGGTGTACGTGCAGTCAAGTTTGGCAGACGACGCCTCCTTTCTCGCTCAGGAAAACATCAGCGTGTGAGTGACAGAAATCATCTTTAATATACGTCTCTCTTTGGACATGCATGCAAACAGTGCACGGATGCATGTGCACACACTGGAATGGTGTTACATCAATAGACAGACCGTCGGGGAGTGAAATGTTCAAAGTTCAAGTATAAAATATGTCCTCCAGACTGCTGGAACATGTCCAGGTTGTACTCGCCGCCTTGTTTTGTCTCCCTCCATACATCTCCTTCTTTTGGCACATCATACTCTTGCTGTTTTCAAACACACATACACACACAAACAAAGCGCACAAGCACTGAATAATGGATGAACCCAGTGACACTATGATGATGCTTTTTTTTTTTACAGCTATACAAAGTCGTCCTTTAAAGGGTTGTCCCTCTTATGCTGCCTAGAGTTCACATTTTGTCACTTGACATTTACAGAGAGGTTTATGACGGCCCTAAGCTCTGATGTCTCACTGCCGCTGACACTGAATCCAAACTCTGTGGACACCGACACAGACAGCACCTGAGGGCCTGAAACGGAGCAGAACACAAGTTTCATATATGGGCTCAGACTTGAGGTCCAACTGAGAGGCTGTTACCTCAGTCTACTTTCTAAAACAAGAAATGATACATACATACACTAGATCTGAACTATAAAACTTCTGCAGTTTCTGTCCAAAGTCACTTAATTTATTCTAAGAGCTACAGGTCAGGATATCTTTGATAGCTTTGATTTCTGCCCCTAAATTTGTGAATGCACGGTACTGAATTGGTGCAGTGCCCTTTTAATGAAGACATTACTGAATTTTAATTTGATTGTATGTATTTTAGAGAAGTGGAAAACGTTTTGTCAGACCTGCTGCTGCCACAGCTTGGCAAGGAACTACTGTTCAGGGAAACCTTTGAGGGAAAGTCGTCTTTAGACCAACTTGGATGGATACGACTGGAATTAGCTTAGCAGGACGGCTGAAGCTCTATTTGAGCCTCAGACAAACATTAGAGTATATTTTTTCCACAGAATGGGGGCTTGTGTGTTCTGTCCCTCATTTTTTATAGCGCAGTGGAGTTCTGGGTGGAAAGCTTCAGGCTCGGCGTGGAGAGTTGAACTTGAAGCGACTAAGACCTGTTCTCATGTGCGCTCATCAGTACTGTTGTAAGATCAACTTGAAAACTCCATCATACTTTAAAACAGAAAAATTGCTGTCCATAAAAAGCATTTAAATTGTTTAGTTCTATGAAAATCATTAAAAAATTTTTTTAAAACATCTCAAAAATGAATTGTTTGTGATTTATTTACAATGATGTAAGTAGGCTGACTGTTCTTAAGCACATTGACCTTCACTGCTCTATATGCTGCTGCACCTCATTTTTTATATCCCATCCTTTATGCTGAAGGATTAGTGTTGTCTTTAAAACTGAAAACTATACCTAAAATGTGCCTTTATATAGAGAACCTTTCTAGTCTCACAGTGCTATCTGTGGTACTGTATATTCTCAGGGGTTATCTTCCAAAGACCTTTGCTAATCTTAAACAAAGATAAGAGATCTAGGATTTCATCATACAAGTTTCTCTCAATAGCTTTTGCTCCCTAGAGGTGATGTAGCTATGTCATTTTGTCAACCCACTAATACCTTGACATAAAGTCTGTGCGTGGGGGGGAATAGAAAGGCAAATCAGTTGACACTGTTGTGCTATAAAACAACAATATATAAACATTCATTTTAGGAAAAAAAAGTTGTGTTGAGATTTCTAGCATTATTCAGACTGGTCAGAAATAGTGGAAAAGAAAACCTTGAAATGAGCTTTGGGACCAGTTTTCACATCTTCATGTTCAACGAATGTTGGCATTAAAACCGGTTTATTTCATTTTGCCAAATGGAGCTGGTCTCCACGTCTCCCGGCTCGCATATGGGCAGCATGGTTCCTGAGTGGCTCTGCGAAGGGGCGTTGATTCAAATGAATTTCCATTACAGAAAACTGGCTGGCTCAAATAAATCATAATAAAAATGGAACTAGTGGCCTGTCATCTCTCAAAGATCGGCTACCTCGGGACACTGCTGAAACCTCTCCCATCATATGCCCCAGTGAAGCGGAGACGATGGGAAAGAGCATGGAAAGGATTTCTGTGCCAGAGGGAAAGATTTTCAAAAGAGATTAAAATACAGTTCACTTTTTTTTTTAAAGGCTTCCTATTCTTTTAAATACAGTTGTGAATGTTGTGGTTTCTCCCACAAGGAATGTATATGCTGCTTTTTGCTCTGTTACCGTGAGCATCACATATGAATTAGTGTGGGAACTGTCATTTTTTTAATTGCTGGAAAATTTAATTTACAATGACATGTAATATAATAGTTCAAAATTAATTTGGATTTAGGATTTATTCTTTAATGAATACTGGGTGAACTGGCTACTGAAAATCAGAAAGTGAACTGAGTGAATGCTGCCAGTTACATGCAAATGAGAAGTTATTTAAACACTTCCTCACTGAAGTTCGGCTCCATCTGGTAGGATCCTCCGGCTGTTTTCATCAGAAATGAGTATTTTCAGCTTCAAAGCTCTGTTCCCTTAGTTAACACTGATTTATTATATGTTTGTTATACATCCATTAATATATATGCAGACATGGTAGCTATGAGATCTAAAACGAACTGTGTAGTTGTGGGTATTAAATGTGCACCGCAAGTGTTATTATGCTGTGTGTATTGACAGCTGCAAGCTATGCTTTTGCTCCTATAAATTTTATTTGTGAAAATATTTTATCTTGACCAAACAGCTGCAGCATATTTTCATTCAAGTAGCTATATCATAATATCTGGATTCTGTTTAGACTTTATGAGATTTCTTTCTGAACACACAGACACACACACACACACACACACACACACACAGAGGCAAAACAAATTATTTCTTTACCTCCAAGAAATTTAAAGATGCCATAAAAGAAAACCGAGATGAAAAACCATAACAAACAAATGACAAATAGCAAAATGAACTGTATTGAAAACACCATAGCACTTTATAATGTAAACCCACAATACTCCGGGGCAATATTAATCAATAAGCTGAAGCTAAGCTATAATGCAACTTCTTGACTTGAGTCAGCAAGTTATACTGTAGTGCCGCTGTCATCCACTTCAATTAGAGAAGTTTACGCCCCCAACATTGTCACTCAACTTGATGAAAAGTCTACACTGAAACAACATGTAGCCTGAGGCTTAAAAAAACGGCTCACAGGAGATGAAGGAGCAGATGGCAGGCACAGCCTATCTGAAAGTACAGATGCTGTTTGGTCCCACGGTGCTACAGTAGGTGCACAGTATTAACTGCTGTCGTAGTTTGAGTTATTACATTCCAAGAATATTTCAGATAACCACTGTTGTACAGTACCATCAAGAGAAATGCATCCACTCCTCACCTTGGCTATAATTTACTACATGATGACCAAAATGACTTTTCTCATTTACATTTGCTAATGCTGCCGTTATTGCTGTCACCTTCTTCTTCCTTTAGTCTCACCTTTGTAGCCACAACTCGCCTCACTAATACAGCATTAAACCGACATTATGGGGCATTTTGAGCACAGAACAATGTTATGCTAATTATATTTCATAAAGCAAAATCTAACTAACAATCTCTTTCAATTGGTTTTTCTCATTTGTGCACTCATTATTGAATGTTTGCTCTCTCTTACTGTCAACATCCTTGCTGTGTTGCTCCCAAGTTTGATTGTATCTTCGAAATATGATTTTTGCTCAAATTTAATTTACTGTATATGATCAAAATGTCCCATCACACACTCAATCTAAGACGCTCATACAATTCTTTACACCACTGGCTAGATGTAGTACATCAGACACTTCTGTAAATACTATAAAATGTTCCAGAAGTCACCAGAAAGGATCCAGTAGTTTACCAGTGTACGTACAGTCTCACTGGTAACTTGTTTTTTCTGTGTTTTGCACCATTTACTAACAGGAGTTGTCTAACTATCTGTATGGCCTTCACACCAGACCATGACGGTTAATTTATTTACTGCTTTTACTGGTTCATTTAACATGGACAGTGCACTTTAATATACATTATTGTAAGTGTGCCAGAGTTAATGAAAAAGCCAGTTTTCATCTGCAGGTGCAGATGTGTAATAGGGCACCTTTAAATGCATAATGTTGTTGTCTTTAGGTTACATTTTTTTGGGAGGGGGGCTCAGTTCATCATTGTCATTGCATTCTCCCATGAGTGGATGTTGCCTTTGGATTGCTTTTGTCAGCTTGGAATCAGCTTCCAGAAACAATGAAGTGATGGGCAGGTGCAGCTGTTACTTCCAAGCTGCCACAGGAGAGGTGAGAGGAGGAGACAGACAGAGGAACAGAGAGGGTTAGAAAAGGGGAGATGGGGTTCTTCTCAGTTCCAGATTTATGCTTCTTCACCTCCCTCACTTACATCTCTCAAGCTAGGGCCGGACTGAACGTGGCAAGATTTAAATTTGTCTACATTAAAGCCTGGGCCGGTTTCAGGTATGGATAATTACCAACTGATGTTAGTTTCCACCTCTTCCAGCTGCAGCAGTTCATTGTATGAACGTTGCCCTCAGAGCTGCCTCAGCACCTCACTCTGGCTATAATCCATATCATGCTCCTTGCAACCACTTTGTTGCTAGTGATTAGAAAATACATGGGGAGCAGATACTAAACACCACAAATAGTTAAAATGCATAAAGCAAGTGATAGAAACTAAAATATAGAATATTCCCAGTGTGTTTCTTTGATTTTCAAATGGTGTAAGCATGTACGTAGACCTGTGGAAGAGCATGGATTGGGCTGGATATTTCTGTCCAAACTCCACCTGTGCCTGAGAGCATGGCATCTGAACCCAACCGGGACCCGACCCGAGCCTGACGCAGTTGAGCTTGTACTGTGTTTTTTCCATTTTTATTACACAAAGCAGACGTTTGAATGCTCCAGCCATCTAGCCTAACATTTAATGTACGTGTCCAAACCTGACCCGGACCCAAACATAACTTCTAAATTTCTGTCTGAAATTTGCTCAAATCCTCAGGTACATACAAGTCCCATCGGGCTTGGTTCGGGTTTCTACACCCTAATCTGCGGAACCAGGAACTGTGTTCCGCTTTACATGCTTTCAGTTTTAATGTGAATTTTGCTAAATGAACACTGAAAATCTGCTACAAGATGGCATGATTAAATGTTACCAATAGCTTTTGCAAACATTTTTTGTCTTCTGTTCAATTAAGCTTTAATGGTAGTTTAGCATGTGACATACTGTTGTTTGTTGCAGTTGATCAGTGGTTATGTGATGTTGAAAAAATGATCATCACTGATCTCAGTAAGGCACAGGTGCATTGGATTCACTTGTGTAGTTTCCACAGAGAGATACGGAGGGAGACTTGATGAGTATAGAGCCGCCTCTGGCTAGATCAGCCTTTTCTTATTGAACTCTGCTGTGAATAGAGGAGATAATCTATCTTTGAGAAAGACAGAGTGGTATTACTTTTAGATGGACTGATTGTGACTGGGTTACAAGTACTGCAGCTCTTTTAGTAGCAGTTTCACTGATGCAGTGTGTTTCTGCACACGTTTGAAAATGAAGCACAATAGTGTGTTTGTGGCATGCATTTTGAAATGTAGTTTACATAAGCACATGGGGTAGCCCTATGGGTATTTATGGCAGTTTGCTTCAATTTAACCGTGCTTGACAGGATAACAATACCTTAGATACAGTGCATCCCAGGAGTTCATTAAATTTATCCAGTCCCTTGTTAAGAATCTTCCACCACTTGAAAATGGACTCATGTCGTCACACCAGTGAAACTAATGTCTAGCCTTAATACGCCCCCATCATATATAAGGGCTTAGTTTGATTAACACCTTCTGGATTTCTCTGTGGTATATTGTTGTTTGTTATAGCACTTTTTTGATAAATAGGAATATGGAGAATTTGAAGGCTTCATTATTTGTTAGTTCTTGGGTCGCTTTATGAAACTTAAAGGAGGTAATCCCATTTTCAGTTGCAGTTCCTTAGGAAACTTGTGTGAGAGAGATTACAATATTTTTTGACATACAGTATTTAAGTTTTAGTGTTATGTACTGTATAAAGAACCAAGAAACGAGATCCTAAGGATTTCCTGAAATATAATCAGTTGAATGATTGCATTAGACCCTTCATGCTGG